TTGTAATGGTTTATTTTAATATTAATTTCGGTTTAAATTATTACAAATTATGATCGATTACAAATACACATACATATCACATATACACACAGGGACACATGTACACAAACACGCACGGCCACGGGCACGCATACAGAGTAAATGAATCAAGCAAAATCACACGAATTCATTTGATATACAATTCAAACGAAGAGAGGACAACAGTTACAGTACAGACTGAAAATTCACAGCAAGTGTTATATTTATATCACATTGTTGTTGTTGTGGTGAATGTGCGATAGCAGACTGATTATTATCGAAACGAATCCAGTGCGTTCAGTGCAGTTTCAATGCATTTTCTGTTTATAACTCGCCAACAATGAAATGAATGGAATTTAGTGTTTGTTCTTTTGTATCTATCTATTCATCACTTGCCATCTGGTTGAATTTTTTCTCAATTGTGATAAATTATTTGAAGAATGTTAAAAACACTATATAGTTTTTCACTCGGCCAATACTATGGAGAAATAACTTGCGACAGCATAACTTAGGCCAAGTACAGAACAAACAAACAAAAAATTATACATTTTAATTTGCGTTTTTCTTCCTCTGTTTCGTTTCTGTGTGCGAGCCCCTTTTTTGCAAACTACATTTATAGCAAACACATGGGCAACTGAAAGATGCACTGACAATCGAATTCATTGCTATTTTTGCGTTGTGGTTTTTTTTTTTGTTGTTTCATTTCAATTTTTTGCATTTTCGTCTCACGGACTAGAATGACTATTTAGGCACTAAAGTGTGACAAATAAGTTTGTGCGAATCGTGCAATTTGTTTTGTTTAGACAATGAAAATTATTGTTGATGTTGTACAGTAGTCGTTTTTTTTGTCATTTTGTAAATGTTAAAGATTTGTTATGTACAGTGTGTGACCACCTCCACCGTCCAAAAAATGATAATATTACAATTTATAAATATGTACATACATACACACATAGCGATATAACGTTTCAATGTATTCTCATGAAGGCTCGCTTCGGCGTCTCGAAAATGTCGGCAATTTTTTTGTTTCTGATTTGTGTTTTTGTTCAAATCATAATCAACGCTGCATTTATGTTCGGCCAAGCATGGCGCGCACGCACGCAACGATTTTCGAAACAACGCGAAACGATTGTTCGTGAGAATCGGGGAAATTGAATTCTTTTTTTTTTTTTTTTGTAATGTTTTTTTTTGTTGAATATATATTTATATACATGAAAAATAAACTAAAGGAAAAATTAAAACGGAAAAGTAAATTATCTGGCAGAAAAGATAAATGAATAATAATGATAATAATAATTAATATGTATAGAAACTCGATTGGTTGATGCTTACAATTATCATTAGTATCATCATTGGATCGACTTGAATATTGATCCGATGACGATAGTAGTCTTATATTGGGATGAGCTCCCCCCTTATGATCACTTTTTAATATGGTACTACGCATTTGTTGAATTGACATTGCCGCTGGATTTGATTGATCCATAAACATATTGTCACCTTCACACTCACTTTCTTTATACTGTAGAACATTTTTATGCTTTTCATAGATGACTAAACATCGATGACACCCTTTACTGCTTCCACACATGCATTTGCGATCGCAATCCATATTACATCATCATCATCATCAACATCACAAACAAATTTCGTTCGAGAGATTCGTGTGATTTTCATTGCGTTTAAAAATTCAATAATTGAATTTTTGTTTGGTTTTTGTTTTTTTGGTTTTGTATTGTTTCAATAAAATAGAATTTTATTTTGATTTTGGGTCCAGTCATGAAATTGGAAAAAAAAAGAAGAAAACAAAATTCAAAAAACCAAAAATAAATGTGATTTTGTGTTTTTTTTGCTCTTTCCAAACTAAGTTGAAAGTCACATTTTTCTAATTGATGGAGAAATGTCATCATGACATACTGTCGTTTTACATGCTGTTTATTGATCAAGGAAATGATGGAAAATTTGATTTTATGTTTCACTTAATAAATGAAACATTTTTCGATATGCATTAAAGTAAAAAAACCGATATAAATATAACAAACCATTTCCTTGAAAATAATAAACCACATGTTAAACTGGCATAAATTGTAAAATCAAGAAATAAATTTGTCAGTGGTTAAATGAAATTTGATATACTCACTCGTCGACAATTAAAAATTTATCACCGTCAGACGCCATACATTTCCCCCGAAAACTAAGCGTGTTCCCTTTTATAAAAATTGGCTGTTGATTGCCACTTAGAAACCATGAACCTTCCCAGCGTTGTGGAAACGTACAATTCGATACTATAAAGAGAAGTGGGTTCAAAAACGAGGGGGAAGAGACGAAAAGAAGAAAATACGCATTTAAAAAATTTATTGGAATTTGTCGCCAATGGGTTAGAACGATTGGTATGTGAGGTTAGATGGGTTTTGGGAATAAGTGCATTAGCTTGTGTTTACACACTGTATATTGCCGTTTGGTTTCATATTTCCGATGCACATAGCATTTACCACATATAAATATATGTGTTTTTCTTTGCGTTTGCTATTGCAATGAATGAGTGGGCATATACCAGTGTGTGCGCACATAAATCATATGCTTTTCTGATATGAGAACATAAATTTTCCCGTTGTGGTTCTTAACTTTAAATTCAAACTCAAAGGAAATGAAATTGAAAGAGAAGAAAACTTTAAAATTAAACCAAGAAGAAGAAGAAAAATTACAACCGGAATACAAGTAATAGAAAATTACCTTCGTGTTTGTTTGCACTGCAAAGTCGCAACGATGATGAAAGCAGAAATAAATAACAAATTACGATAACTAAGTTCTTCCACCATTGGCTTCGGTTTGTTTGTGCATGCTTGTCGAATTGTGCGTGAAACACAGTTTTTGCGGAGATCGGCGCAATATTCACCATCGGTGAATCGATACTTATTCTATTCGAATGACATCGTGGTTTGCGGCACGAGTTTGTATTCGATGATGATGATGACGATGACGACCACGATGTCGGATCTGATGTCGTTCTTGAGCTGCCGTTATATGTGCTCCGTTTATTAGTATTATTATAATTACAATTATTGTTTTTTACATTATGTTCGGTTCCATAATTACTATGTAAAGTAGTTGTAGTTTTTGTTGGTGTTGTTGCATTAGTAGTATAATTAGAATCACAATCGTACGTAGAAATTGTGCCACATTTTTCAATATCTAAGTTAACAATATTGCCTATGGCCTTGATATTTTTTATCGTCACCGTTTTCGTCGTTGATGCCGCCGTTGTTGTGGTCGTCTTGGTGATCGTTCTATTTGTCACACGTTTTGGCGAACGATGCTGTTGCTGCCAATGATGCATAATTTTCTGTTGTGGCTGCGATTCAAACTGTAACGAAGACTCGTGAGCACACTCTGTCGTTTGATATAGATAATTGTCTGTGTCGGCACTAAAACCATGTTTATGAGTACAGGCAACATTCCCTCTAATTGAATTAATTAATTTTTTACTATATAAAGTTTCGTTGCATCGATGATTTGTTGGAGAATTGGTTGTATCGGGCATGCCACCCGAAACCAAATCGTTTACCACATTATTGATTGTAATTAGCTGCTCGGATAATGTTGTGACAGCATTTACTAAATATTGCCTACTGACAGAGTTTTGCAGCCAAAGGATATCCATAATTCATAATTTAATTTGTATTTTCGTGCGTTTTCGGCTGCAATCGTTTCACTTTTTATTTGTCTCGCTTTTGTTTGTATTTGTTAGTTGTTTATTTTTTCTTCGACAAACCCTGCAAATGCGGAAAAATTAATAAATCAGTTTTGTTTCTGATACAGACAGTCGGTTTTTTTATTGGTTCATTTATTTAAAAAAATTAATTTCAAATAACTCAATTATATTAATTCGACATGATTACTTAGTACGCTGGTGATTATCAAAATACTAACAACAGCAAATAAATAAAACTTGCCAACCCAATACAATCTACCAAATCATGATGCATAAGTTTCAGTAACGTAAATATATAATTTGTAAACAGGACCAACTGCTGGTTTTTAAATTAAAATCTCCGTTAATATGATTAGCCACCGAGCGCAATCAGAAGCGCGAGCGCGCGCACATTCACTTGTGTATATATTGTGATTTTCATCAAATATATATTCTCGTATGTGCACTGTCTCTCGCTCTGTCTGCGTGTGTGTGTGTGTGTGTGTGTGTGTGTGTGTGTGTGTGTGTGTGTGTTACACAGACATTGAGCGTAAGGCAAATTGTAGAGAACTATAAGTACAAAAAAATGAGCGAAATGGACTAATTCTTCTATTATCATAAATTATAATTCACTGACTCTCTTGTGAATGCTACTAAGGATTGAAATATGGCCAGCTAATGCTACGCGGGACCAACACTTACACACTCATCCGCAGTTCAACACACAAAAAATGAACTAATATTTCGTGCATGTTTCAATTCAGAATATTAAAATAATTCATGTGCGCCCGGGTTTGTTCTTCTGTAATATTGTTGATGTTAGTTTTTTTTTTGTTCGCGTCTTTATCAGTGGTCTCAATGAGTGTTTCACTGCATGCGATCTTATATGGGGTCCCCTTTAATTTTATTATATAGGATAATTCAGTCGCATTTGCAATAACTTTTAATTAAAACACAATAGTTTTCTCTCCGTTGTACAGTGATTAAATTTAATATAAAAGAGAGAAATAAAAAAACCATATAGAGCATGGAGGATGTTGGCCCCCTTTTTGAATCAGACAATAAGCTCAAATTTTGTACACAATCATACATTTTTATCCAGGTCCTGATTAAAGTAGACGCAAAGAGCAAGTATTTTTTTCCTCTAACTAATCAAGACAAATTGAGCTGTAAAAGTGCAATTCATTTTTAGAGAGAGAGTAAAAGAGAGCAAATGTTGTCGTTAATTTTTGCAATACGAAAGTTTTATACTATTTAAATAAAACTGTTGGTTTTTTTTTCATTTGTCTTCATTCACTTCTTTATTGTTTCCGTTTTTTTTTTATTCTGTATTGTTTTGTTTTCAAATTCAATTCTTAAAAAAAAGAAAATACATTCCAATTTATTCATCTTCCGCATACATATTCGTATTTATGTAAATAATTTCGGTATATGCGCACTGTCAAGCATTGTCAATGGTACGCTTCATTCATTCATTTTATTTCTTGTATGTTGAACTCATAAAAATGTTTATTTAATCTAATAAAAGCCCATTAATGAAAGTATATTTGTCAATCTCTGTACAAAAGCTGAGCACGCAATTTTCTTTAGTATCCTATATTATGACGTGTGTGTGTGTGTCGCGTATGCATATAAAAAGAAATGAACTATATACAGTTTTTTTTCTTTATCTACGGTACTAATAATATTTAACAAGAGTGTGTGGGCTCTATTTGGTAATGCCACTCCATTTAATAAAATCAACAAGTTCACGAACGGGTATATTTTGTGTAATCGCTTTCAATTTTAAATTTCGATCGTTTGTTAAGAGAACAACTTTGCGTTGGAGATTCGATATGGATATAAGTTTTGATGCGGTAATTGCATCGTTCGAATGAAGTTTCGTTAAATTGATGGCTGTCATTAGAATTTTATCGTCATTGTTCATATGGTCGATTGGACTTTCGGTGGCATTTATGCAATCGGTTTCTTTAGTGAATGCCATTGAATTGAGAAATGATCCCTTTGATGTGGCGCATTTCACATTTGAACCGGATGCTTTTAAAAAAACTAACGCTTTGTGTGCGTTCAATGATGTTTTTGTTGGTGTACCATAGACTTTTAAGCAATCATCACCTTTGGCCAAACCTTCGAGTTCATTCAATACAACAATTGGCACGATGACATGGTACAATGGATAAACTTGTGCTAATTGTTTAATAGCTGGCAAAAAATCGATAAAACAATTGGTATCGGGTAGCAAATATTTTGGTCGTATCTCTAAGCAAATTGTTTCGGAATTCGTTTGACGCAGTATATCCTGAGTGAATTTAGTAAGTTTCTCTTGCATTTTATGGGTTTGTTCGAGTTCATTTTTTCGTTGTAACAGTCTTTGAATTTCATCGAATGAGGCATTTGATTGATGTTCATCTGTCGATTGGTTCTCCATTGAATGTTTTGCATTTTGTGTTTCGCGATCCGATTGTATTATGCTATTGTTATCGTTACCAAATGGTTTTTCAATTATTTCTTTTTCATCTTCCGATAAACCGTTGGTGTTGTTATATGTACCAGTGTCATCGGTTGTGCTAAACAATTGTGCAACAACCACTTCACCAAAATCGAGACGACATAAAAACGTGCACCCTTCTTTCATTAGCTCCGTTGTACAAAAGTCATAAATATTCTTCCACCGCAAAATTGTGAAGGCGCATCGTTCGTCGATGTCGCTTCTACGGTATACAAAATCATTGCGAATGACGGAAGGCATGCCAAGTGTTATCATATCTTCAGTTAATCGAATTCTTTTGTACGATTCATTGTTGTTTGGCTGTTGCTGTTGCTGTTGGATCGGCTCACCGACCACCAATAATTGATCATCAATTTCAAAATTGAATTTATCTAACGCCATTGTGATTCGAGCAAAATCATCCCATATTCGTATACCGTACGCTTCGTTGAATTTATGCACGGCGACAAGTACTGCGTCCGATGTCCATGCGCTCCAATTGAATTTCAACCAGTTGCACCACAATGAAATGGCAGCTAATGAATTATTTATGCTGTCGGAAAGTTTGAATTTATTTATTTGCCTAACATTGAAATGTGTCTCTCCGTTGATGCGGCATTTTGACTCATAGGTGGTGTCGTCAGTGTCAGCCGTGGCCAGCATATCATCCATTTCACATTGTAATTTATTTAAAATTATTCCGATGAATGCGAATGAAAACACCAAAGCAGACTGCGGCTGCGACGTCGACGACGACGACGGCGACGATGACGATGACGGCGACAACGGTGAGTGTGATGAGCTAGACAATTGCATGCTATTCTCAATAGAATAAATGTTCAGAATGATCATTTGAGTCATTTTTTGCAGGGTGAAAATACATGACGTTAACGTGGAGTGGTTCAATAGCTCTTGGAATTGTTTCAGAGTTTGTTCCATGCAAATCTCTAGTGAATCGGAGCCAACTTTTGTGAATAAAATGCCATGCAAATGGGAAAAATTAAATATGAATTTTTTATATAAATCAGCCGAGTCGAGTAACTCATTCTCCTGATCCAAAAACACGGTTCGATAATTCAATTGGCCATCGGTCGGATGCACCCATATTTCTCGTTTAAAATTTTTCATTTTTACTTTTTTCGCGGCGTCCTTTTCGCTTTTGGTTGCCATTGGCTGGCATTGGGTTTTATTAAGTGATTGATATTTTTTGCGCAGCTCATCGAATAATATGACCAAACTCTCTTTGGCCGATTTGATTGGATTTGATGCGTTTAGACTGCGCATATGATAGAATATTGCATCAAATTTTCGTTTATTATACAGCGCAAGTATGGCCAACTGATTGGATGGCATTCCATTTGATGGAATCAATTGATATGCCTTGTTGTACCATTTGGCAGCCTCATCGAATTTTTGCGATTCGGTGACAAGTGCTTGATAACGAAACAGATCGCCCAAGCAAATGTAACACTTTTGTGCCGATACCACAGCCAGACTTATGTATTTTAAACCTTTTAAGTTTTTGCCACACTCCACGCCCAAATAGTCGTCCAACTGGAAACCATATGTTTGCGTAAGCAATCGCAAAATATCATTAAATAATTCGATGCCATCGGCAATTAAATGCAGACACAATTGACGATAAGAATCTTTCATGGCATGGTCATTGTTACTTTTATCGTTCGCCAGACGTCGTGCACTCTCAATAAAATTATGATAAAGTATCTTCCAAAAATGTTGCTCAACATTGTGTTGACGGCAAAATTTCATTTCGTGACGCAAAAGTTCGGCATAAATCTCCTTAATTCCATTTCGAACGGCATTGTATTGATTCCAGTTGATTTGCAATTTACCAGCAGCAATAATTGATTGTAATCGCTCATCTGCGCCTCGCAATTTCTCAATCAGACCATTTTGACGGCTACTACACCCGGGCACAGTGTACCAGTTCGGTTTGACAGCCGATAATTTTGTGTAGTTTTGTCGAAATTGCATTTGCTCAATCGCATTTGATAATTGATCAACCATAGCGGATGTCGCATCAGAGTCGCGCGCTATTGCCACGCATTTGGACGGTGATTCCGTCATCACAGATAATTTATCAATTTATTCTATCTGCTTCGGCGTGAATTTGTCACTGTTTTCGGTTTAATTTTTCTTTTTGGTAACACACTATCGGTCTAGCTTTTTTGGGGTGTGGAGCCAGTGTGTGTGTGTGTGCTTTCTTATCGTTGACTGTAGTTGAATTTAATTGAATTGGTTTGATACGGCGATGAAGTAGAATTGTCTATTTGAATCGGTCGCCGTCGTTTGTGTGTGTGCGTGCGCGTGATTGTGATTTCTGTGAAACAAACAAAAACACATAAAAGGCGGACGAATCAAGATATGTGACATAAATGGATGTTTTTTTAAAGTTATGTTTAATGTCTTGTTTTTCGATCAAGAAGATGCTATGGCACAGAAGCTGAGAATATTATAAATATACATACATATATTGTGTGTATTCAGACACCGGAAAACTTTTTTTTGCTTGGTTTTGGTTTTTGTTTTAGTAAGTTGGCATTTTTTTCGAGGAAAAAAAGCCGCATCGCGAGCACACCAGAGTCATTTTCTTTCAACCACCACCTTGTGGTACGCGTCCCGCACATATAATTAAGAGATATGAATTTAATGAATATGGTCGAACGAAGTAATTAAACGACGATGCTCAATTTTTTTTTTTTGGTTTGGCGCGTGTACTTAATGAAATTATAACGCTTCCCTGTTCGAAGGCGAAAGTGTACATAGCACGCGAAATGATACAGAATCCTCATTTTCCATTACTTCAGTAATAAATAATTTATGGAATCCATTTTGATCTATATGGTATGGAATTCCGCTTTTATAATTTTACAACAACATTTTGAAAATTCGCCGATTCCCTCTCCCTCTCTCTCTGCTTCTCTTTCTGTCTCTTAGTTTCTGAACCAACTTTTCGAATGTGTGTGTGTAAATTTTCCTTATACAATATAACATTTGCCATAATTTCCCTGTCGCCTTACTACCCGCCTCTTTTTTGCCCTTCATTGCCTTTGTTGCTTCTGCTTAAATATTAGATCATGCATCCTTTATTAGACGAATCTTCAATATCTTTAAAATGATGCGCACGTATTTTATAACTTTTCTATGCTTACGGTGTGTACTCTCTCTCTCCCTCTCCCTCTCTCTCTCTTTTTTGTTTTTCTCTCACACACCAATACACAGCATGTAGTATGAATGTATAGTGATTACATTGTGGATTGAATTCATGCAGAATACTTTATTTATGGTTGTAACAATGAATAATACGTGTAACGTAATGCATAACTCTTCTGTATACATTACAAAATTTTCACGTTATTTGCGTGCTCTCAATTCAAAATTCCAATTTTTGTACATGAATTGTCAGCCCTTTTTTCGTCAATGTTCCCAAAGTGCATGAAATTTCATTTCTATCTCATTTAATTCTCTCGTTTCTCGCACTCTCTGTTGTCCAAACTATTACCATAGAATATGTCAAGACAAATTATTTGCCATTGTTCTTATTGAATTTTAGGGGGACGAGAGACATTCTTTTGTGTCACAGTCTTTGCTTCGTTTCGATGTTAAATTAAAATTGACAAATTGATTTGCTTCGTGAATAATAAACTCGCAAGCGACACATTTAAAGCGACAGTGCTGTCATTTTCGTCGATGAACGATGGCAACGAAGAAAAAAATGTATGTTTTTCCTTCATTGGAATGAGTGCGAAAGAAAAGGACAACAAAAATTAGCAACAAGATTCGTGCACTGCAATTTTCAACATGAATTTTCAATTTTTTGGCTTCGGTTATCGCGTCTATACGTCATATAAATCGCTACTACACATGAATTCAATATTTCACACAGACACACCATCAAATCAACCGTCTACAAAATCTCTATGAATCAACTGTATATTTTCACTCGAGAGTAAAACGCTTGTATAAGTGTGTATTATACGAAACATACAAATCGATCGATAACTACAATAAAACCAAATAAAAAAAAGTAACAGGGAGTATCTCGCTTTCTCTCTTTCTCTCGCAAGAAATTTATACTTCTACTACTACTTCTTCTTTTTCATTTTTTTCTCGTCTTTCCTTTTCTCTTTTCTTCTCTGTTATTGTTCTCTCTCATTCTCACACTCTTGCTCTTTGCGTACATGAACTAAGGAAAGTTATTAATTAAATGCATTGCCTATATTTGTGATAATCGTGCAGCGTACCAACAACAAATAAATATAAAATGTCATTGATACTGTGACCAAAGCAAAACCAAAAAAAAAAAACTCAAATATATGCAACAATCATGAGAATAAGATGAAAAAAAACGAATTGCACACAAACCTCAAATTTATTGGGATGTAGTTTGGTTCACAAGTTTTTATTATGTTAGTTTGCAGACGGCGGCCATTTTATCCCATCTTGAACGAAACTCAGTGTTATGTTTCAGCGCTGCTACTACAACTGCTGTCGCTGTTGCTCTGTTGCGGCTGATGTTTCATATACAAAAAATCATAACTTTTAATTTTCTCACACCATTTTCTGCATATTTGTTCTCTGTGCTTTTTTTTATCTCTTATTCCACGGGATGGACAAGATTTCTTGAATAATTTCGATTGAATGCTCGCATTAAACGAAATTTAAATTGAATTTGGTTGTGTGTTGAATTGGCGTTGCTTTTTCTATTCTCTTTTTATTTTGCTCTCGTGGATTTCTTTCTACTATTTCATTTGACTAACTTAATGGTGTCTTCTCTCTTTTACTTTGTGTTACTAAACGAAAACAAACTGATAAAATTTGTCGATAAATTTAATGCACTAAATAAAATGACAAATAAATTTTTCTTTTACTGATTTTACAGAATATTATTTATGGTTGTATTTTAATGTGCGCGACAAAAATTTTTTTACTTCAATCACGAGCGCGACCACTCAATCGTATATTAATGCGAACGAAGTTCACAGTCATTTTACACTAAACCGAACCGCACTCCGTTCATTCGGAAACAACGAAAATCGAACATAGAGCCGATCGCTTGTATTCATGTAATGAATTTGTGTAAGGGGAATGTATGTGAAAAATGTACACAAACACAGATATAGAAATGCTTGCCGCGCATCAACTCAGTGCCTTTTACTGTGTTGTATGGAGTATGCGCGCGTATATGTGAAGTGTTGCTGCTCTGCCTTTGTTTCACACTGCACACACCAAATTCGAACGACACATATTCAAACATCACCAAATACACTCAGTATGCCATGCCATTCCAGAATAGATTGCGCGCTTTTCAAACTGAATTTGTGCCGAGCGGACATATTCTTTGCATTTTTTTTGTTGCTTCTTCTACTCTCGTTCAATTTTACGATTATGCGCAAATACCACAAGGTAAATGTGAAAAATCGTAGATGCTTCGAAAATCAACGCGCTTGTGCTCTCCTCTCTCTGTCTCTCATACACATCCACTTACATCATGAGGACAATGGCACAATTATTTGTTATACTTTATAGCCGGTTCGATACACTACCGATGAATCAATTTTTTTTTTACAATTTTTATCATTTGTTCAATTTTTCAATCGCAATTTTTATCCAACAAAAAAAAATCTTCAATTTTAAATATTTGTTTTCTCGCAGTAAAATGACAAAAATGCGTTTATTATTTGATTGCTCTTTTAGTAGATGGCATCGAACGAAGAAAATCGGTAATAAAAAAAAAACTTTTTTTAAATGCTTTTTCAAAACGGTACCGACAACGCCATCTAACTAAATCGGTTGACGTTAGAATGGCGCAAAGTTTTAAATTTTTATACGCCTTAATGTATTTCATGCAAATATTTCCAGAGATATGAAGAGGTATATGATTTGTGGTACATTTCAATATTAATTCAGCGGCAATTTTCATAATCTTTTTTTTCTCGCTTCGAGTGTTCAATCAACAAGTGTATTATAAATTATCTACGAAAAATCGAAAATCAAATCGATTTGTACAGAACTTTGATTAATTTGTAAAAAAAGGCCATGCTTTAACCAAAATCAACTTAAGTTATGTAAAAGAATTGTTTTAAGATAACTTGAAAAACGAAAAAAAGAGTGAATTTCTATCACATATTTAAATAAAGGTTAAAAACGTTAGAGACTTTTAACGGTTAAAAATAGATATGCTTTGGTTATCAATGCAAAATTGGTTAGCGGATTTGTAATATTTACCACACACATCTATATATATTTGGAGGCTATTTAATTGATGCAGATATCTGCATGATATTCATATGCATAATGAAATCTATTTAATCGTTGATTTACACATTTTAGCGGTGAGAAGATTGCGAATGCAAGCATTTGAATTTTTGGTACTCTATTAGGGCTCATTTAAAATAAAATTTAATCATCGATTGTCTATTGCTAGCGATCGAAAATCAAACAAATTCAGATTATGCATGTCAAATCAATGTCGAATCATTTCAATTTCTGCATATTAAATATTTGATCAAACATTTTCAGTAATTTTCCATACGAATTTATAATGATGGTCTCTCAATATTGAAAATGAGCAGAAAGCGTTGAAAACATCTCTATGCTGTTTCACTTTTATTCCGAGACCAACGTTCAGAAATACAAACATACACATGTGCATGTTTCGAAGTTAAATCGGTGAACTTCAAGTTGAAGGAAACGAAAATAAAACCTGTCAATATTATACAATGAAAATTTACCTATCATTATTTTTCAATTGCAAATTCAAATGTTAATTCAATTAAATGAACAGAGGACCATGAATTCCTTACAATTACAATATTATTTCATTGTTACTTGAAGTTTCATTCGGTAAATGTGAAGCACCATGTAAAACTCGGGATATTCCAACTTCCAACCTATCCCAACACACATAAAAAAATAACTTGTTCAATTTCAGTGGTTGGTTTATATGCTTTATTTTTGGCTATTTATCATGTCGGTCTAAAAAAAGCACATGGAATTTACTTCAAATCAACTACCACAGTTTGAAACCTGAAGCATTTGACATTGAGTTCGTGCAATCAAAAAATAAGTAATCAATCGAATGCGCAAAAAATGTACAATTTTTTTTTAATCGAATGAATCATGTGACACGGTTGAAAATTTTGCGGTTGAACACGATTTATCCAGAACCAAAACAAAATCTACTTCCAAATTAAATGAGATCGAAATTAAATAAATCATTTTACGGCGAATTTTGGAACAAATATAAACATTTTGCATCGTATTTTAACATTTTGAGATTTGTACAATCAACATTTTACCTCCACACTAATTAGTTGATTTAATTGATGATAATCATATTTACGAAAACAAATATTCACTTCACCAATTGAGAAACAGAACGGAACGGAAAAGATATGAATAAACACTATGCTATCCATATGTGGATAGCTTATTACTTTTCTTGTTTTCTTTGCTTTGCACAAGATTGGATAATTGCATGTAAATGTACGCCTTATTAATTTCATATATTCAATGAGTTCATCCAAAGTCCCAAATCGCTGAAGGCGGTCGAACAAATTCTCGTAATTTTTATGAAATTGTTAGTATGATTTTCTCTAATTAGTGTTAAAAATGCTTTCATTTTCTTTCAAAATGTTTTGGTAATTCTTTTTTTATTATAAATCATATCTTAATGAATTATACAATATTTTTTATACAATATATTTGGCACATTTTCGATGATTTACTTGTGTTTATTCGTGGCCGGAGATCACTTGCCTAAAAATAAGCACTATTGTCACAGTCGCACACTCACGTAATCGAAACATAAAGATGCCAAATCTAACCATTTTCGAAATTTTCGATTACGACAAATGACGAGATAAAAAATAGAAGAAAAAAAAATACGATACTGAAAGTTTTATTATCATTTGAATTTTGCAAAAATGGTCATTTGACGTTCGTTTGGTTCTTAAAATAAATTTGTGCGGGTTTTGTTTTTCGATGGAAAAAATTCACCAAAATGAACAAATAATTTTATGTGAAATGGCTGAATCCGTGGGCACTGGTAATTTGCCACTGCTAAAAATATGTTTAAAAAATTCCAACAAATGAATATGTTAATGGCGAATGGCACCGTGAAAGAATGAACTGATAAATCTAACTAGTGATTTGGCTTGGACTCTATCAATGCTTTCGGTCATACAACAGATGCTTATGTGGAAAACCTTGAACTTGGAAACAAAAGAGATGATTTTATACTTGGACTTTCAAATTATATGGATGAAACAACTTTTGGACAGATTTTTATAAGGTTTCAAATGCATTCCATTTTTGGTAGCTTGAGTTTGATTTTTTGAACTAATGACGGTGGTTGAAGTTCAGATATAATATCCAGGGCCAAAGGCAATACTTACACGATCTGAAGCATATTGAAAATCGATGCAGATGTCAAAATATCATATGTTACACGTATCCTTTGATACCTTTTCACTATATGCTTCTGTACATGAAGTTTTCAGGCTAAATTATTGACTTGAAATTCAGCCCCCGACACGTAAATTCGCATGGATCAAAACGCATAGTTTTATTTTGAAAAGAATAAAATGAAATAAATATTCAAAATAATATCTATGTCGTATTTGTACTCTGTAATGATCTTTTTCTACAACAAAATCAATGCTAATAAATTCCGAACAATTTTATCTAAAGAAATTAGTTACATTTCAAGTTTTACCATTTATGGCAAATTTCCGCTTCAAAATTACCGATTGATCAACACAAAACGATAACGAAAACAGATTCACCGAGAAATTATTTTGCAATTCGATTTCCACTTGCATTCCGATCATACAAAAACGATCTAATAAAAAAAGAAACATGACATTAAATCAAAAACGTTCTGTATCCGTTAAAGTCATTGTTGGAAAAAGAAAATCATCTAATTCAATTGAATTTGATCAAATTAGTGTTGGTCATTTGGATACCTTGGACAATTTGAAAGATTTTAGAATGGCGAACTAAAAATCAATGTTAAAAACAGCGGTCGTGAGTGCGATACAGGCAAATTTTTAGTGTTGGTCATAGCGATTCGTTTCAATTTTCTTGAGATTCATTTCCATGATTATGCGGCCATTTGAGTGGTTTTTTTTTCGTACGTGATTGTAACAAGGTGCAGATGCTGAAATTGTTGACGATTTGATGCTGTTGGTTTTTGTGTGTGTATTTTTCTGTTTGAGCGCTTGTTTAAACAAGGTTAAGCAGTATTTTGATTCACATCCAATGCAAAAAAAAAACCAAAAGGAGCAAACTATAATTGTCTTCTAGCTGAATTTGTATTTTTTTTAATCCATGTGCGATCCATTAAAAGGCCGCATTGTAATGTCAACCAAATTATCTGCAATCAACAGCCAAATCTCATATTGAAAATACAAATAAATCAGTACGCACATAAAAACGGGCGCGCTAGAAGTGAAGAGAGAGAAAAAAATTACCTGACAAATACAAACCCATACACATATAAATTAGATGATTGCATCACGCATAATAATAAATAATAATAATAAAAAAACAAAGAGATGAAGAAAAAAGAGTCGTAACTCAATTAAAATATTATACGGTCCAATACGGGAGTAAAAAGCAGCAGGTAAATGACAAGCCAACAAAGTTTCCATGAATATTAGCTATATGACTTTGGATTATTCGATGAGAACATACTGTAGTGACCAAAACCGCAACCAAAATCACGCACAAATACATCAACCGTCGTTCATCACACTTCGATTGCTTTTAGCATTGTATTTCTCGTCTCTCTCTCGCACACTGTCTGTATATGCGTTTTTTCTCTCTCTCTTGAAAATATTATTACGATATTCACGAAGTCATGTCAAGTTGACTTGCTGTTCATCAGATGCTAACTAGTAAAATAGGTAAAAGGTCTTGGCGTCAATCAGCATAAACATTGGATGCCGTTGCTGTTACTGTTGTTGTTGCTGCTGCTGGTCTCTCTTCGGCTGGTGGTTTTTTTTGCTTTTAAATTAATTTTAATTTACGTAATTCGTGAAAATTGAATTAATAATCAATTATTGAGCGTAAACGTAATTAGAATTGCTACCACACTTCAATATATATGCCGGACATTCAATTGTATGCATGTTCAGTAAGCAAGTTTTAATATTTAAATTTTCACATGGAAATTAAGCTCATTTTCCAACATTCATGATTCGCTCTTTGGCTTCGACCACTTGATTGATTGACTGATTGATTGATTTAAGACCGAAATGAAAAAACAACAACAATAACAAACGAATGGACGATAAAAAAGCGATATGGAATGCAGCTTAGCCAATAAATTGCAGCGTCACAACAACTAATTTAAGAAGAATGTATGTAAATATCAGTTGAAAAGGAAATGAATCCGTTCCATTTAAGCAATCAATTGCTGATTTGAATCATTGAGAAAGCTGAGTTCAAAATGCGCTGACATTTGTGCAACGGACGAATATTTCATTATTCACAATATATAACGCTCTCCTTTACTTTCAATTATCTAAAAATAACCGACACAAAAGCAAACACACACACACTTAATAATCGTAGCATGAATCAATCATAAAGTGCCGAATCGAATGGAAGGATTTGATGAAAAGTTTTCGTTATTATTAAAAATGTGTGTTGTGTTTTAATTGTAAATGGCACAGCATCAATTGTAGGGAGCATTTTGCAATCGTCACGCTCACCATCACAGGTAAAAATAATCATATTTGCACAATAAAACAAAATGACCAAAACACGTCAATGAAATTCAAGCGACATTTTTTTTCTATCCATACGCTTCTCTAAATGCAAATTATTCGTTTGTTGGGCAATACATAATATTATTATTTATTATATGGTTGCGATTTGAATTTTTTTTCCTCCTATCTCTCTCTCGCCACATTTTCATTACCTTTGTTTGTTGCTATTTCCTCGGTAATTTTCATTGAAATGAAATATACACATATACACAATTTTAATTCGATTAGATTCGCGAATGCATCTGTTTGTACAAATATTAGGTGGCGCAAGGTGGCCACCACACACACTCACATACTCAAGATAAATACATACCTGGAATTTTGATTTATTGGATATTGCATTATAGTTGGTGTGTTGCACGCAGTGTGCCTACATTACAGCATTTTTCTTTATAACTTTTTTTTTAATTTCTAGAACTTGTTCGTGTGTGCGTGCATCTGAAATGATGACAAATTATTCGCATATGACATTCATTCGTAATGGCTGCACAATAATATCACGATCAACGCCGCTATAATCATTTACACAGATTGAGGTAGTTAAAAAAGGCATCGATTGTCGTGTGTATGGTGATCAGTGGCAATGGCAATGTTTAGCGTTTTACCACTGAATACGATCGCATGTGCGCGCGCGCATATTCCCTCAACAATGTTGTGTCTGTCAAATTGAAATTGAGATGAAAACCGATACCAGCGTCGATCCATCAATGTATGATTATGTTCATATTGCGATTAGTAAAGTGAAGGTCAAATATTTCATATTCTGCATCGTTCATAAAATTCATCATCTTTTCTACGTCTCTCGCTCTATCTCATCCATATTTCTTTCTTGTTTTCTCTTGTGTGCGTGTCGTCTTTTTTTGCTTTGGTCATTGTTTTGTCAGCTCTTTAACAGCCAGAGTTTGATTTGGTTTGCTTAACTCCTTCTGATGAGCAACAAACACACACACAGAAGTATTTCGGTTGTTTGATGTGTTCATACGGTGATTGTTTCGAGTGAGATGTTGATTGCGTTGTCTTTGCATCGTCTCCGCATGTTCATCGATTAAAAACATTGTTTTTTTTACCAACCACTCAAAGGTCGCATGTTTGGCGTGTGTGTGAGAGAGCGTTAATAATCGAGCAATAGGGTCAATCATTGAGAGTGAAAGGGAAAACATGAAAAGTCAACATACACATGACAAAACATTTAGCATATCAGCAATATCAATCCCTGTACCCGTACTAAATACACGTGAATGCTATGTAGACACACACATACACACAGTGTTTATCATATGGGAATGCAGCAAATGTAGCGACAACAACAATAACAGCAACATGCATGCCAGTCAGCAGCAGCAGCAGCAGCAAAAGCGGCTGCTGTAGTAGTAGCCACCCAACAAAACAACAATAAAACCAACAACAAATTATAACATTAGCAATTTCACGTTATAGCTGTCGCACAACTTTTAGTCAACCATTGAAGCAGCTTACGTTCACATCTATTTTCGTGTGAACTCTTCTTCCGAGTTTTCTATTATTTACATTCGAATTTTTGTTGTGCGGTGAATTCAGTTAACGATCTACCTGCAAAATCAATCAATGATTAAACATTTTTTGAACACTTTTTCAAGTTTCGATTTTTGCGAGTTTACTTTGATGCACGCGCGTGTTTTATAGAATTTTCAATTATTTTTTTTAATCGAGCGTCAAGTAGCGAAAAGTAAATGCGAATTTTCCGAGACAACGAGAGAGAAAATTGAAAACCATTGAAAATAGTCGTTTGAGAAAACCAAAATAGAGAAAGAATACAACGAAAAACAAACAGAAACAACTTTACAATCATCAAGCTAGATAGAAAAGAGAAAGAGAAGAGAAAAAAATATATATTAAAAGTATGTTTCGCTTCTAAGTGCAGTGTTACATTAAAATCAAAAGTATTTAGCATTATTTTAAATTTAAGCGCCATATCCACGACAACCGGATTAAAATCGAGGATTATTTATACTTTTTTTTTCTGCTGTCTGACGTACAACCACGAAAATTCTCGGGTGAATATGCAACAAATAGAATGGAATATGCAAACGTTAACGATCGATGGAAAAAGCTCAACTTAGGGAATGATAAATAAGAATTGGTTTTAGTTTTTAAAAAAATGGCAGCATTCTAAATTTTGATAAATTATTCTATTCTATATCTCACTAGTTCTACATTAAATGATTCGATTAAAATGCCATTCAAAACAAAATTATATTCAGAAATGTCTTTGACAAATATTTAACAATACGCAACCTGTTCAGATTTGTGTGTGTGTAATTTTTCGCATTTTTTTCGAAGAAAAAAAAGCTTACATTAATTGTGTGTTCAATCTTTTTGTGTATCAATCGAATACAATAAGACAATTAATCAGTTGATTCATTTTCCAACGGTGATACCGATTTTTTTCATCTAATAATGGAGTTTGACATTTGTGCTGTTTGCATTTTTAATCATGTGTTAATCGCTGACACCCATATAGACGATTGAGATGGATAGAAAGGAATTCACCATTTATTAAATCGATAAACAAACCAGTTAAATTACATAAGATTTGTATCAAAGTATTTAAAAAAAATGCGGATCTACTCATGTGAGTTTATGATATCCAAAATTATATGGTGTACAATACTGAAAGACACATATCATGAACAGACACATATGCACAAAGAGTGGTAAAAAAGCTTGTAGATTTCCTTTTACTGACCGACTAAAATCATTATTAGCTTATATTTGTTCAACGTTTTTTTTGATTGTCTTACTTTTTATTTCAATGAGCTATTTTTTGTCTCTGTCTTAGACCGTATATTTGGATATTGTCATCCAGATATTTCAGGTCATCTGGCTGATGTCAGGCGCTGAAATGTAGTTAAAACAATAGTGATATAACAATCACTTCTATTGTTCTCACTTCATTTCATAGCCTGACATCAGCCAGATGACCTGAAATATCTGGATGAAAATATCCAAGTCTGGTCTATCTGTGTCTCATTTCATTGTGGGCGATAAAATGAGGAAAGAGATGATCCAGGTGACAGTAAATTTGTCTGGCACAGAATAAACGAGCTTATGACAAGAGACAGAACAAAAGAGCAAAGAGAAACAACCGATAAAAAGCGTTGTCTCTAACAAATCAAGAACAGCCGCATGTATGACTTTGATATGTGTATCGTATTAATTGCTTGTGTCTGTAAAACAAGTAGTTTCGCTTCATTTTCATTTAAAATTGTGTGTCCAACACAAAATCTGCACCAAATTTTCTATTTACACAAGCCGATTTTTAGTTCGATTAACAAACACACGATTGAATAACATGTACAATAACATGTACGAAGAGAAAAACGAGAATTTTCAATAAGAAGACCCGAAAAAAAATCAAATCTTAGTCGATTTAAATATTTCGCATGTAACCTTCAGTAAATTCAATATCACTTTCTTACCTGTTTACGAATGTAAACAAACATTTCCGTATAGCGCCGTGTTTTTCACTCATTTTTTCATATGCGAATTCGTGTACTATAGACTACTATAAATTCGTGTACGACTCATAGTATATTGACTAATAAAAATGTATTTCGTATCGAATTTATTGGAAATTAAGGCAAAGATCAAAATCATAAAGAAACATACGGTGAATATATGAAGAAATGCATAAACGAACGTTGTTTAATGGCAACGTTCAAAACTTAAATGACATCGAAATCCACAACCACTTTGTGCTTTTAAAACAAAGAATACGATGAAGAAATAAAACATGGTTGTTCAAATAAAATGGTTGAGAGAGGAATTAAAAAAAATTGGCGATAGAGACAGTGGAAAGTTCAAGGGAATTGTGTTGCACATATATTGAACAACGTTATTACGTTGACCGATTTATTTAGCCAAGTGATTCTCGTATATCCACCTCATTCATTTGCGGTGTCATTGATGCATGATTTGTTATCGATGATAAATGCTGTGACGATTGTTGTTTAATTCCATTTATAAGTCTTTTCTTATAATGTACATTGTACTACTAACCCAGACAAGTAAACCGCTCAGCTCAGTATTCAGTAATTCCCTTAATTTGTTGATTCTATCAGTTTTGTTGGTTTCAATTTTGGTTGATAATTAAATGTTATAAATAGATGCCAATGACTCTCGATTATTTTATAGTTAAAAATACCATAAGAGAAAGGAACAGAGGAAAAAAACAACAAACGATTTAAATAATGCAAAAATGATGATAACATTTTTAATTTTAGTTTGGGGAAAAAAACCACAATATGTCATCAAATGCACGTCCCCATTAAATTATCAACGAATGTGAGATGCGGTTGCACCTTGAGCTGTTACCATTTTTGTCATTTTCTATTGATTTGTTTATATGGCTGAAGTTCAGGTGTCATATAAAATGCACAACTAAACATTTGACTGACTCAATTCAGCTTGAATGCGGAAAATACGACATGTGAAACATGCGGCAGCAACAACAACAACACAAATACATGAAAATCCAACCGCCGATATGGATGCCATTCTCATTTGAATTCTATTCGCATTCGGAATTCTAGAGAAGAATCACACCGAAACATGTCTCAATCGAGCCGTGAATCGGCCATTAATTTGTCGATAAATCACAATCGTATTTGTTTATGGTTGTCGTGTTTGTTGTTGCGGTTTCCATTCGGATCTTACATTGAAGCTTATATTGCAACGATTAAATCTTGCAAAAATCGTTTACATTTTGCTACATGCCATTTTGATTGTGATTCGTTTACCGGGTCGTTCGTGTTATAGAGCTTATCTCATGGTGTAGTCAGTGGTTGGTTTTTTTTTTTCGTTATTTTCGACGCAATATTTATTATTTTACAAATCGTATATCGATATATGCGAATTTCCATTGCACCACACAACATTGTGTACAATAGTATTCTGAGACATATACGGAAGAATTAAATGTTCTTAGAAGGAGATACAATCACTGATAAAATTCCACTGTAAACTGAGATCGACTGTGCCTGGCTAGAAGCAAGTAGAAACGAGCAACAAAAATAATAATAACAACATCTACTAGATGAAATAAAAAAAAAAAAAGAATTATACGAAAAAAAGCAACAACCACGTGGAGATCTTGTAATAATAAAGCCGCAAATCTGGTATTCATTAAAAATGAACAAAACAATCTCGGATTACGTATATGTAAATAATTGACTAAGCAGTTTATACTTTGTTCGGAAAACAACAAACGTATATGCATAAGTTTAAAAAATTCCAGCATCAACTTTTAACAACCGGTGTCGTGTGCAAAGAACAATAGGCTCACAATATTTACATTTTAGAAATGTTTTCAACTATTTCAATTATCACAAAAAAAAATGCCATAACTCTGCACTTGACCAAACGATCTTCACCCGAATGTTTATGGTCGGTGTGTAATATTTCACCCTGCCCTCCATATAGTTAGTGTAGGTGTCAAAAGATATAATATATTGAATATCAATCAAAAGTAGCAACTTTTTTATATGGCCATATTTTATTTAGTTTTAAGTAGCTGCGATATTCCGGTGTTAGCACATTCATAAAACAAAAGTGATTAAAGACTTAATAATAATTGTACAGTGCATTAGTGTATGTGTGCGCCCATTTTTCAAAGAAAGGAACCGTTTTATTCGGTGACCTCCGATCTAAGTCCAGCGGCTACCATCGATCCGAAATTGTCACTTTTTCCACTTTGTTTACAATGATTTTTGAAGCAAATGTATGTGCTTATCGAGGTGACAATGTATGCGTAAGCATTATTACAGCTATTATGGTGGTTTGATTGTTGTTGTTGTTTTTATCGATTTCAATGTTGGCCCGTTTTCTGTCTTATGCCATTCATAAAAACGTTCCTTTTACTTTTGTTTGAGCATTTTTTTTTTAATCTATTGTCTTCATTTTCATCTTGTCGTTGTTATTTTTTCACGTTGTAATTTGTGTGTCTGATGCTATATCATGTTGTCATTTAATGGCATTGATGTGATGATTTGGACCCTCAATATTTGGTGTATGCATACACCAACAAACAAAAAAGCGCAAATGAATGGATTTTAATGTACAACAGTACATAAAACACATGTAGAATGCCAGTTAATTGCCGTGTAGATTGTCGATCCATCGTCGATGACGACTCCGCGATTAAGCTGCGCGATCTCGCGCTCTAACGTACACATTGTGTGTGTTCGAACGAGTTGTTCGTATGCGCTTGTCTAATATTTATTCATGAATATATTGTGACTTGGTTTTCTTACTTGCTCTTGCAAATGTGTTTTTTTTTTTTGCGTGGTGTTGCCGTCGCCGTCACTGCTGTTGCCGCTGCTGCTGATACAAGCATCATAAAGCAAAACTCACACGTCCAACAATTAATTGTACGAGATTTGAAATCATTTAAGTAGACAGTCATAATGTATATCGTGTGTATCTGTGTATATTTACGGAAATAATTACCTTCTCATTCTCATAAAACGAAATAGGAAAGCAAATATTCTACATCTTTAACGTTTTCATGCACACAATGTTCTTATACTTTTTTTATGATAGCAGTCGACAATTCAATTACATAGGTGTATAAAACACAGCAGGCACAGGCAATGCTAATTCAAAGTCGAACGAGAAAGGCGTGTTCGACTTTGACTAGCCATGCATTTTTCTCTTTCAATCACTCTCTCTCTCTCGCTCTCTCTTTTGAATGAGATCCTATGTCAATTGAGATGAGTGTTCTGTTAACTAAATAGACAACAGTTATTATCATCGTTTCTTCTCCTTCATCAATACCATCATCATCCCTAATCTACGTATTGAAGATCTATAAACAGCACGTCAGCAGATATATATATATATATAGTATATTTGCACTGAATATAAATAAATGTATATCTGTGCACGAAAATTCCAAAAATAAACACTTCAACGCTTTGATTTACATTTGTATTTTAGTTTTTTGATGAATATCGTTAATTTTGTTGTTGTGATTAACGTTGATGCTGTTGGTGACGCAGATTTTTCTATTGTTGTCATCATCATTGTGGTTGTTTGTTCCAAAAGTCATTTTCTATGTCTCTTTTGTCTTTGATATAGCATAAATTTTGTTGGTGATTTTGTCGCCAAACGTTAAATTTACGTAATACGTTACTATCCATACCACATGGATGGAAATTTGTTGTTGTTTTATATGATAATTTTTTGAAAATTGCCGCCACAATCTAATACACATTGGTCACTTTCGCATATTTGGAAAATGTGATAGAGAAAAACGCGGTTAATCGGTTGGATAATAGCTAATCTGTCCGCGTTTGCCCATTCACAAAACGAATTTCGGTCACATGGAACATACGAGACGAAGAGATGAAGAAAAAAGTAATACACCATACATCAAAAACTTAACTCTCTCGAATTGCGTAGATGCGAAGAGTGCAGAAATGCGTGACAGTGACTGCCAAACAGTATGGAATCACATCAGTCGAGAGAGACAGAGAGACAGAGATAGATAAAGATATTCGGATTTTTGGCGCTTTTGCAATGATCACATGTGGTGAGAGCGACAGAAAACAAAAAGTTTTAGATAGATAAATTTTGTAAAAAGTGAGCAAAATACCGTCGATCCATTGATGAGCCATCGAAAAAATAAAATACCACAAATTTATTCGCGATTCACAAACACCAACTCGATGTCGGTTTCTCTAGACGATTGTTTGCATTTATTTTGGTTCGATATAGTATTCCAAATTTACGTAAAAACTCATAAAGATTGATATCGATTTTGTGCGGCCAAATGTGTATCATCATTATAGCCTTATGGATTAATTAATGCTTATTCACTGAATATGTATATGTAATGGAATTTAGCGCCAATATCCATGCCGTTTATTTCTAAGCAATTTAGTTGACGTTGTTTTAGCTTATTGAAATTGTATTTCTCATTTTTTTTACAGATTATAAATCAATAGACCCACAAATATGACTGAAAAATACATTGATTCAATAGTCGACTTTTTTGTGAGAAACGAAGGTAAGAGCCACACACATATGAATTCAATGTCTTTCAAAAATAAACGCTTTTTTGCTGCTCATTTTATTTGTGTTACGTTCAGCCGCACATATCGATAATAAATACCAAAAGCACACCATAATGGACTGTCCAAATTTTGCGTCGTATGTAATTGAAGAAGTTCAATCTCTCTATTGAACAAAGATCTCAATTTAACCTTTCTTCTCAAAAAAATTATTGGATCATTTGGATGCATATATTTGCATGGAATTGCCGATATCTTGTTTACATAAAACGTTTGCTTAATTCGAAACGTAAAATGTTATTCTTTACTGTTTGGATCTATTTTTAACTTTGAAATAAATGTTAACATGTAATTTTTTTCTCTCTCCAAAGAATCAGGTTTTGCAGCATTCAAGTCTTTCACCTTCCGATTTAAGTTCAGATTTTGATGTAATCGCGATCACGCTCTCATAAATATACTCGCTTATCTCTTTTATGCATATATATTATCTAATGATAAGGTGTAACGCAATCGATGTTAAAAGACGAATTTAAATTGGATTGACATTACGAAAAAACATTTTGGTCTGACACCATTCTATTGAGGCTTGCATCGAAGTCGCGTCGTTGAATTGATTTCTATCCAAAAAATAATCGTATAAAATGCTGGGTTCTTAAATCAAACAATCTTAGAATTGAAAGACTTGATTTGCAACCTTATTTCATAATTTTGCATCATAAATGTATAATTAGCCGTGGCATCTTTTGCAAATGGCCCATAAATTTTAATCAATGTTGCAAAGCCGTCCACAAATGGTTATCGCAATTATGCAACAGTGAAATTTTAACGCTGCTGATTTTTTGGTTGTTGTTTTTTTCATCAAAAGGCTTGAGCAATTTTTTGTCTCCTTTTTGTCTATATCGCAAACTTGAGCTGATGTTTATTCATCATCCGATTTATGTTTCAATTCATTAACATGTAAATTTTCTATGGATTTTTATTTCGTTTACTCACTTCCAGATGTACGTACAAAACCATGGCTACTATCCGGATCACCAACACCGTTGCTCATCATTCTTGGCAGTTATTTATTTTTCTGTTTGCATGCTGGACCCAAATACATGAGAGACAGAAAACCATTCGAACTTAAAAAGACACTTATCGTTTACAATGCTATCCAAGTTTTATTGAGCGTGATCTTGGTGTTTGAGGTGAGCATTTAAACACAAGAAGCAACCACTCACACCGATCCGTTTCGTACGGATTTTTGATCATCATTTTATGGTTGACATTTTTCATGATCACAACTATGACCATCGTTTATGGATGGGTTCGCATAGAACCTGTTTGAGGCGATTGGCATTTAGCATATTTTATGAAAATTAAATCATTCAACATCTTTAAAATTCATACGTCATTCAAATCGTATCACACATAGTATATTCATTCAGTGTGTTTTTTCTCTCGCTCTCTCTCTTTTTCACAATAATTTTAATACGCAGAAGAAGAAAAAATGAAAGCATTTCATGAAAATTGATCTCTTTCATGGTCAAACCAAATACATTTGTTTTTATAATTACTTGCTCAAAAAGACAACATAACCATTTCTCAATATGTGAAATTCTCAAAACACCGAACATTGATCAATGAATCAGAAATAAAGAGACAAAATACGGTGCGATTTGATGTGACATGAACGGCATGTAGCTTTCGTATCACATTGGTTGGCTATTTATTTAGTAAGAAAGTATGGCGTAATTTCGGGCTAGGTCATTTCATCAACTAGTTTCTTACCTTAAATGTTACAACATCCGAACTCCAGAGGAATAACTCTTTTTTTTCGTTCGTTTTATAAGTGTTACTCATACATACATATATCACATTCAATTTCGTTTTTGTTTTTCTTCTTCTTTTTTTCAAATGTAAATATTGTCTACTTCTGATTTCATTCAAACATAAACAAAAAAGAAGAAGAAAGAGTGAGAGAGAAATGGGCGATTATTTATTTTATGGTTTTGAATTAATTTGAATAAATCTATGAAAATTGGTTAAATGAATTATGTTCCACAGGGTCTTGAAGGTGGATGGCGAAAACATTACAATTATAGTTGTCAACCAGTGGATTACAGCCGAAGTCCAGTCGCTATGAGAGTATGTAAAACATCATTCAATATTTCAGTGGTTTAGAGAATAACATTTTTGAAGAAAAAAAAAACACTTAAAAAAAAAACTGGAATGTTTCCATGGCCCATGACATGGATACATAGAACCAAAAAAAATTTGATTTGTCGCATGCAAGTAAATTTGCTAATCCATTCTAGATGGCACGTGCTGTGTGGTTGTACTACATGTGCAAAATTACCGAACTCTTGGACACCGTATTCTTTGTACTGAGAAAGAAACAAAGTCAAATCACCGGACTGCATATGTATCATCATACATTGATGCCAATCTGCGGTTTTATTGGTATTAAATACTTTGCAGGTGAGTTGACATCATTTATTGCAATCAATAATTGGTGAATAATCCAATAAAACCTATGTACACTGTCAATTTTTATTATGATGACGTCTTCGTAGTCGTCGTCTTCATCGTCGACGTTATTGCACTGTGACAACACACAACTATAAACGATATGCATACGTATGAGTATTATGTGCACCTAACTTCATGCGTTCCATCACTTCATTCGTTTTTCTTTGCATTTTGTTTCATTTTTTCCATCTTTCATCCATAAAAGTCATTGCCACGCGATTACGTATGACTCTCGTTTTTCTTATCTGTTTTTGTTTCTCTTTCTGTTGCGTTTGTTGCTATTGTGTGTCGCTGGTGCAACATACAAACACACATACGCCATTTCCATTAGTCGTTGACTAATCCATATGACTGGTTATTGATTTCTGATGCAAATTGTTGTATTCATTCATTCAGACACATGTTTTTTTTTCATCATTTTTATGTCATTTCAACAATTTTGTCTCTTTTTTTCTCGTTTTTTATCGTCTCGATGTGCTGAATATATATGTAAATAGGTGGACATGGTACATTGTTGGGCCTCATAAATAGGTAAGACAATGTAACACATTTCTGTTCGGGCCGTGATGTGTTACTATGCGCTTTCTTTTGATAATTTTATTTATACATGTTTATGTGCCATTTTCAACTATTTTTCTCTTTATTTTTTCTTCTTCTCTCCCTCTTCCCCCCGTTGCAGTTTCATTCACGTACTAATGTACACTTATTACTTGCTCGCCGCCCTCGGACCACAAATGCAAAAATATTTATGGTGGAAGAAATACTTGACAATCATGCAAATTGTAAGTGACCTTTATTTATCATATAATATGTGCCATTTTACTGGCGTGACTTTTTATTCATGGCATCGATTTTGTCACATCGCGAAATGATTCCCCAAAAAGTTTTGTGTCTGATTAATTTTTTTTTAAATGGTAACCTTATTCTATGGTAGGCATATAAAATTGAATTTTAATGTGATGCCGATGATATTTTGTCCGTCATAAATGTTCGATCGATTTCATTTTTCGTTTTGTATATGTGTGTGGAAATTGAAACACGTTTTATGATTTAGCAAATACATCGAACAATGAAAAATCGGTCGGATCGGATTTTATTTTTTGTTCTTCAATTTGTATTATATTCTGATGCGGGAATTTTTTTTTATTTCATCTCGTTACAGGTTCAATTTTTGATTGTATTTGTTCATACGGTTCAAATTCAATTCCAACCATCGTGCAATTTCCCAAAATCGATTGGTGCATTGCTCACATTAAATGCTGGCATTTTCACCTATATGTTTTCATCATTTTATATTCGTTCATACACCAAAAAGCATCCGTCAAAGAGTCAACTTAACAAAGTCGATGTAAATGGTTACAGCTATAGCAACGGATTTGCACCAGTAGACAAATTAAACAATTCAATTCCTGAAAAGACCAAGGAAGCGCTTAATATTAAACTTAAGAAAGCCAATTAGTTTATTAAAATACACACCACGCACACTTTACCAAACACACACACACACATACACAACCACACACCACATACACACACCATTTTCACAACTAAAACGAAATCGAAATAATCCACTTTAGAATATTGTTTTTGTAATACGAGAATCGTTTGTACAAAACGTGACTTTTACGTTGATTGGCTTTTTGTTGTGCTGTTGTTTTTTTTTTTGTGCGCGATTGATGGTTGTTATCGCTGTATAAAATGCTAAACGAAACGCAGGAAATATAGAATTTCAGTGTGGATGAAGAGAAAGAGAGCGAGACAAAGAGAGGACAAAAGATTTAATAAAAAAGATGCAATCATCATTTCAGCTGCAATAAAAATTATGAGAATTTAAAGTAAAATTCAATAACACTTAACATTTTCGCCGTCATTTCTTCACAATTCTCTGATATTCTTCGCTGTGTTTTTTTAATTAAACTTAAACTCTAGAAAATATAACAATTCGTAACCATTGGAAGAGAAAAAAAGGGACACCTCAACCGATCACATGTGTATTGCAAAAGAAAATCACAAATGCCAATATAAAATGGGCTATGCTGCCAACGATCAATACATTTCTGAAATTTATTACGATTTATTACAACAAAAAAACAATCTCTCTCACATACACAGCACAATTAACATTCAGTCTAGGATATTCAAACCTTACAAAAACTCATATAGTTTTAAGGGTTTTAAGCAAAAATATATGCTTTTTACCTTGACAAATCCAAAAGAAATGAATAAAAGAAAAAAAAATAGATCAACAGCATTTGAAATGAAACGTTTATTGATAAGTTAAATTGTATTAAGAAAGAATAAAAAAATTAAACAGATGAAAATTGGTTGCGACTGATGCGAACGACCTTGACGAACAAACACTTTATGAGAAAAAAGAAAAAAAAATCGTTTTATCCGCATATCTGCAATTGAATATGTTATTTTTGTTAGATAGACATTTAAATTGTGTATGTACTTTAAAAACAAAGAATCATGCATATAAAATTAGTGTAAAATGTAAACGGTCTGCAAAACAACCTACACATTGTTGACAATTAAAGTGAATTAAAAATTGAAAATGAATTTTATTATATTTTGTGTGTGTGTGATTTTTTTTGATTCGTATATGTACCTATAGCTTACAGGTAAAGTATTCTGATTTATGTTCACTGTTTTTTTCGCTGGCAGGAAATATCAAACAGAAATGCCACGGTAAACAGTTTTATTGCCATTTTAAAAGAATTACATGTGAGAAGGTTTTTTTTGTCATTACCAATATCCGCCATCCGCTTTTCCAAGAATTGATTTATTTATGTATTTTTCAATTCAAATGAATTCTTTAAATTGAAAATCAATTTTTTTCAATTGAAATGATAACAAAAAAAAGACCAACAAAACACATTTATCAAGTTCAATTGTGCATTGATCATCACTTGTATGGCAAGTGTTTACCTCTCCGTCAATGAAGGAAATATATTTGTATTGTGAAGCAAATAAGGTCATTCCCTTTTATATCAATTACAAGTTAAAGTCTCTTTTAGATGCCATTCGAAGAATTGAACACTTTATTGTATCAATTTTGTTGATGATTCAATGAACTTTGAATGAAACGAAAATGAAAATATTACACTCGCTTAGGATCTTTAGTAGCAACACAGTTCCAAGTTCAATTCAATTACGTACACAAGGTGTAAAATCAACAATGATCAGAAGTGGTACTAACGATCAAGGGCATATGGAAACGCGTGGAAAAGGAACTGCATCATAACCATTTTTATTTATTATTTCAACATCATTCCAATTATTATCAAACCTCATGACATTTTACTAAAATAATTCCTCTTTTTTACTGTTATTGAACCTGAAAACGAAAAAAAAAAATGAATAAAAATGGTTGAATGGCATAAATCACGGCGTTTAAAAAAAAATCCAAAATTTATTCATTCGCTGACTCGCATAATTATAAAAATCATTTGTATCGAAGCAAAAGTTCAATGAATTTTGATGTTATTCGCCCCGAGTAAAGCTATTTAAAAATCTAAACAGTTTATAGGCGTTTGTTAATTTGCATACATTGCAACTATTTGTTTGAAATTTGAAATTTTTATTGGAAAAAAGAACAATTCAATTACATTTTATTGATTATTATTCACAAAAAAAAAAGGTCTCATTTTCCACGTTTCATAATGTAACTGGATCGTTCAAAGCCAAGTTCAAATTAATTCTAATATTGCACTTCATAATTGTAATCAACCGATATATTCTGTTATAAATAAAGAAATAAAACAAATACTAAACGAAATATATAATGTACCTCGGTGAATAAATGAACAATTAAATGTATAAATGAAAATTTGAATTACTAAAAAAACCGCATTCATTTGAATCGATTCGAAAAAAGGCACATACGTGTGTAGTCAGCTGTTTTATCCAACTTGGGATACATGCATCTAAATGTCAATGATCTGAGTGTTTCTCATATGGCCACACTGAGTGTGTTCAATGCCCCATTTTTTTTTCTTTTCTGCTCTGTTCTCTTGCTATACGCAAAAAGACAATACACGAAAGAAAAAAACATGATAAGATTTGATGACAGCTGACTTGGCTAGTGTGTTCTGTATTAGAATAAATGTATTACGTCAAAAGAGAGAGAAGAAAACATAGAAAGAAAAAACAGAGGAAATAACACATTTGTTTGAATTTCGTGAGTTTGTTTAGAAATACGTCGTATTAAAAATTCAAGCACTTGAACTGTGACCCGTGAATAAGTTGGCATTTTTCTTTTGGGCGAAATAAAAAAAAGCTGCACTAACAAAAACAAATAAAAGAAAACACAATCCAAGTAAGTGTATAACAATTTTCTATAGAAGCAACAAATTACATCCGAATTTGTGTGTGGGCTTTGCAATGCATTGTAATGAAACTCACTAGAACACGACTTTCATCGATTTTAAAGTGCATGTACAAATCCAATTGCCACGAACAATTAAGAGAAAGAAAGCAATAAAACGAAACACACCAACACACCACAATGTAAAATAATGTATGGGACAATCGCGTTTTTCACCATTTTAATTGACTACACAATAATTTAACAGGTGTACGCTAATTGTATTTAGTTATATTATTATTTTTGTTTCCTCTAAAGAGAAAAACAATCATATTTTCATTGTGCACTTTGGAATTGGTGCCCAAAAGACATATTAAATGTCATATCACTAATGTCGCAGTTAACTATTTTTCAGTTGAATCGACAGATAAATAATTAATTATGTTTTGAATGCCACACAGACACAAAGAATAAAACAAAAAATATTGTCATTACTCGACGTATGCCAGTATAAAGAAAGTAATTTTATCAACTTGCATCACAGCTTGTGTTGTAGTTCACTTTGTTATCAAAATCACGCAAGTATGAATTATAGGCACATAATTAAATGTTTCGGGGGAAAGCAAAAAAAGAAAATTACAATACACACTGATAGAAATTCAGTATTCAATATACAATTCTATTTCACGGAATTTCTTCTCTGCTTATTTGCATTTATTCAGTTCATTTGACTGTTTGCAGTCAGACCGAATTAAGCATTCCATATTTTTCTCTCTCTTCTCGTTAGAATGTCCGAGATTTTGGAAGAACCATTGTCAACATCAGCCGGTGATCATGCAAGTACAAGTGAAACAGTGCTTCGTAAACGAAATCCATGGAATTTAGTTTCGGATAGTATCGATCTTCTTGCCGACGTCGATGAATTAGACGATGAGGAAGAGGAAGATGGTGTTGGTTGCCCATTACCATCGACACCCGAAGACAATCAACTGCTCGAGGCCGAGGTATTTTTCAATTATTTCCATTTTATTCACACAGTTTTAGAACAATATCAAGGGGAATTGTGTATTTTATGCACAACATATTTCGTTTTATCAACGAAAAACGGAAATTTTTCGCTTTATCAACGCATTGATTACAAAGATAAATCCAGTATTTATCAGATAATGGCGATAGGAAGGGTCAATTTGAATCTATTTCTGATGAAAATTCAGTTTTATTTGGTTGTTGTCTGTTTTTAGCAATGCTTTATTATACAATGATAACAAATTGTGTGAATAGTCATTTGAAAATTGTACATTGAATTTTTAAAACCATTCAGATGACTGAAGTTCTTAAAGCCGGTGTACTCTCAGACGAAATTGATTTGGGTGCATTGGCTCATAACGCTGCCGAACAAGCGGAAGAATTCGTCCGTAAAGTAAGTACAATTTTCAATCATCCGAAGTCTAATACCGCCATGTGTAAATAAAATAAAAAAAAACACTCAATTAGGTATGGGAAGCCTCATGGAAAGTGTGTCACTATCGTCATTTACCAAAATGGTTGCAAGACAATAATTTTTTGCATCGGAATCACAGACCGCCACTACCATCGTTTCGAGCCTGTTTTAAGTCAGTGTTTCGAATTCACACTGAAACTGGCAACATTTGGACACATTTGCTGGGATGCGTTGCTTTCATTGGCGTTGCTGCTTATTTCCTAACGCGACCATCCATTGAAATACAACTACAGGAGAAAATTGTAAATTCACTAATTTTTTGCCATCTTCTAATTTTTTTCTTCTTCATATTTTAACGAATTCAAAACGAAACATACACTTACACTCTATGTTTTCAATCTAGGTATTTGGTGCCTTTTTCCTCGGTGCAATTATTTGCTTAGGATTTTCATTTGCTTTTCACACTCTTTGCTGTCATTCGGAAACAGTGGGAAAATTATTTTCCAAGTAAATATAATCAGTTCGATCAACATTCATAATTCTTATCGAACACATCATCATTTAATCAATATTTGTATATAATTTCCGTTAGACTTGATTATTGTGGCATTGCATTGCTTATAATGGGATCGTTTGTACCATGGCTCTATTATGGATTCTATTGTCATTATGAGCATAAGTTGGTTTATTTGTCGGTGGTATTGGTGTTAGGATTTTTAGCAATCATTGTATCGCTTTACGATAAATTCGCAGAGCCGGGCTTGAGGCCAGTTCGTGCCGGTATGTGATCATACACAAACACACACAGCAATTTTTTGCATTCCGTCAAATGTTTATTAATACATTTATATGTATGTCATATTTTAGGTGTATTTGCAAGCTTCGGTCTATCAGGCATTATTCCTGCTATTCATTATGTATTAATGGAAGGATGGTTCAACAAAATAAGCCGGGCCAGTCTTGGATGGCTAATTTTAATGGGTAAACTCTAGGGGCAATTCATTTAAAAATTGCCTTTCTATTATTTAAATATTGTTATTGATTCTTTTTCGATTATTTGTCGATTCTTTTAAATTAATTCTTTTCTTTTGTGATTCTCCCCTTAGGTAAACTTTATGTAATAGTCAATGTCAATATTTTCTTAATAAAATCAATTTCGTTTAAGGACTGCTATACATTCTTGGGGCCGTTTTCTATGCTCTGCGTGTACCAGAAAGATGGTTTCCAGGTTTGATTAAATGGCATTTAAATAGAAGTAAGTGTTAATTCAAGTAAGAATAAAATACACTTGAATCAACACTTACTTTTGTTTAAATGCCAGGTAACTTAGTATTATATACAAAATGCAGATTCTTATCAAATTTTTGTTTTTTTTTTTTAAATTCCCAGGCAAATTTGATCTATGGGTAAGAGATTACAAACAAAAAGAGCCAACATCAATTGCGAATCTAAAATCTTTGTATTTTTTTATTCATTTTTCAGTTTCAATCCCACCAAATTTTCCATGTACTAGTTATTGCGGCTGCATTTGTACATTATCACGGAATCAGTGAAATGGCAATGTATCGAGTTACCGTTGGCGAATGTGCAATACCGCACTCAGCTATTACATTCTAGGCAATTACCAAATCACTAAAAACAAATGAACTATGCTGATGATAAACAAAAACATAATCAATTTTAATATGTAAAAAAATGAAATCCTTTATTTATTAAGACGAATAAGAGGACCTCAACAACTACCACGAAAAAATAAAAAATAAAACAAACAGTTAGGAATAAATGAAATGAATCGGTGAATGGAAGGGACTTATTTAACGTTATTCGATGGTAAACACAGACATTTGAGGGATATAATGTTTTTTTAGATGTAAATATTTAAAATAGCAAAACAAAAGAAGCAACAAATTTATATAAAGAAATAGGAATGATGTGCACCAATCAAATCAATTTATTCAAAATGAGCATGTTGCATTCAATTTCTAAGTACCACGAAGAAAAAAATATATATGTGTGAATCAAAATGAGACAGCAATAATCACATGCCTAGTTGTACCAAATACATACATTTCGAACAATCTACACAGATAGTAAAAAAAAACTTTTCAACATGTCAAAATAATCTAAAGATTTGTGTAAAATTTGTGGGAAACATTTTTTGCAACGCAGATAAAAAAAACAAACGATCCAAACCTATTTAGAAAACGAATGTGTGATGTTTTTATTAATTGAAACAGAAATTATGTATCACTGTTCATTTATAACCGAATATGCTTTGTTTGTATTTCATTTGTCCTCTTCTTAATAAAACAACTTTTGGTGGTTAGCACATGATTGATTTTGCATTTTTTTCTATCTCTCTTTCCCTCCCCGTCTTTAACGATGCAAATCACCTTTGCTGGACTGACATTTTTCCTGATTGCGGAAAAAACGACAAAACTCAGTGTTGATAAAGTAAAATCATTGATTACAAATTTTACAGTGATTTAAATAAAAAATAACTTGCAATTTAATATCGGCCCTGAGGTGACATTTTTTTCTCCCGTCAACTCAATGCACACACTAATAAACTCGCATGAGCACGCTTAATTGCCAACTCCTTTGCACTTCGTGTGTAGATCGCCATTCGGGCTATTCCTTTATGTGTTCACAATATGATTCTACGATACGGCACTCTATACGACATCTAATTGAAAACGGAAAGCGATAGAAAAAAAAAGAAAGCACACCAATCGTATTTGTGGTCAAAGCACGCAATGCTTATGCTATCGATCAACGTTCGAACGAAAATCAAACTTGAAGCCCGAAACGACGGGGGAAAAAACTTCAATAGAAGCATTATATTGCAACTTTTACGAACTCTTCACGAGTTCGACAGTTATATCAAATTATTGGAACCGCAACTCATAATGAATAATGGAATTGTTTTAATTATTTCAGGCGCGCGTTTTCATCGTCGTTATTGCTGTCGCGCTACGTACCTATAAATGAATATTCTCCAGTAAAAAATGCCACAATATTAGTCTAATGGGCGTGCAATTTATATCAAAATGTATAATTTAAGCATTTTGTGCTATAAACAATAGTGTGTGTGTGTGCGCGCGAGCTGTCGAAAAACTTTAGAATTTAAGCAAAGCCAAATGTAAAAGTCTATCAACAGAAGTATCGCAATAAAATCAGAAGCAACAGCAGCAGTGAAATTGAATAAAAACTATCGCATTTTCGGAAAGAAAGGAGTAAACGTGCGTCAAAAGAACAATTTACGAAAAAAAGGTCGATTAAAGACTTGAACCGCATCAAAAAAAACCAAATTAGTTAATCGAAGTGAATGCAGTGCGGACGAGTTAAGTGCAAATAAAAAAAAAAACAAAACTTCATTCTTAAATTCAATGGATTAGAACGTGAATTGGATCTGGAATACACAACAAAACACACACTCATCGCGTCCAGAAAAAGTTCAACAAAAAAATAGAACGGATATTTTTTCGCCATACCAATTCATGACCTGTGTGCACACTAAGTGATTAATGTTTCGATCAACCGCACATTTTGTTTTCTTTTTACACCCAAAAAAGAGCATTGAGTGAATAGTTCTTTTTTTCCCCTAAAAATAGTACATGTATCGCGAAAACAACAGCAAAGGAGACAAATAAAATAATAAAAAACGCACGTAAACGACAAATTGAAATTAGTTAAGTGAAAGAGAATAGAACGATAACACAATGGCTTTGGTGATCAAGAAAATTGTCGACTATTATTTTTATCTCAACGATGAAATCAGTGGTGAGCGTCAACATATTTAATAATCATTATTATACGTTGAATCGTATTTGGTTCGGTTTTCTGACGATTGCAAAGATATACACACGCAGCAATGAGCGTGCGTATGTATGTGTGTTTGTGTGTGTGTGTGTGTGTGTGTGATCATTGTCATCAGATATTTCCAGACCCGAAGTGAACAAACGTTCTGGATAATTCAATAATAATAATAACGAAAATAAACAGATAAACTACGTAAATGAATGTTTTGTATTTCGCACAATATAATTATGAGTGTTTTTGATATTTCTAGATCCGAGAGTACGTGATATGTTGTTCATGTCAAATCCGTTTACAATGTTTGGCATTCTTGCGGTTTATCTATGCTTCATCCTGAAATGGGGACCCAAATACATGAAAAATCGCAAACCATTCAACATAAATAAATTAATCATCGTTTATAATATCATACAAATTATAGCGTGCGCTCGTCTTGTTGCCCAAGTAAATTATTATTCTTTTATTATTTCATTTTGTTGACCGTTTATTTTAAATTATTCATTATTTCTTGCAAATTACATTCAGACGTCAACGCACTTTGATTGCGTAAAACTAATCTCATATTCTAATTAGAGTCGTGAGAATTATTATTCATTTGTTTCACTATTTATAGTTTTTATTGATGATTTTGTTGTTGTTTGGTTTTTTTTCTCTCCATATTCTAGGCATTTCAGCATGTGTACAAGTTCAAAAATGGATACAGTTTCTTGTGTCAACCGGTGGACTTTACCTCTGGCACGGTTCCACTGATCATTGCAAATGGATGTCATACATATTTTTTGTTAAAAGTGGTCGATCTATTGGATACAGTATTTTTCGTGCTACGAAAAAAGGATAAGCAAATCACATTTTTACATTTGTACCATCACACCGGAATGGTTCTATTAACATGGAATGCAACGAAATTTTATCCAGGCGGCCATTCAGTATTCACTGGTTTTTTAAATTCAATCATTCATGTTGTAATGTACGGTTATTATCTGGTGAGCGCATTTCAACCGCAATACAAAAATAATATCTGGTGGAAGAAATATATAACGCAAATACAAATTGTAAGTTGTATTTATAGAATTCTACTCTCATTTTTTTTTCTTGTTTTAAGATTTTTGTTTTTTATTAGAGATAAAAACAAAACTGGAATAATATATCATTTTGTGTGTGCTTGACGCTAATTGCAAAAATATATTTAGTCTATCACTTGCACAGAATTAAAAGATTTATAATGTTTTGTGCGTGTGTGTCTCTGTGAAGAGACAAAATACATTCTATTGTAAGATTGCGGAAACTTAAAAATAATTAGCTTACTCAAAGGTTCTCTCCCTGTTACAAAGCGCAAAAATGGTTGTTTGACTTTCGTTCCAATTCGCCATCTCAGTCACATTCAGTATCATACTCGTTTCGCATGCATTTTGTTTTTGTTTCATTAAACGTCCGTACAAATAGCGATCGAGAACAAGCAAGATGTGCAATAACCACACGAAAAATGCCATGCAAACAACACTACACACCATGCAAGCAAAAGTAATTGATATTCGTTTCTCTCTCTCACTATTTTTTGTCGTGTAATTTGTCGCGTAAAAAGACCCCTTTCAATTGCCTTTTGGCGTCATAGGCATATCGGTGATTCTACTTCAAAATACAAGAACAGCATATCGTTTACAAAATCGTATAAATTGTTCTTAATAATACAAAAACAATAACAGCAAAAAAATGTGATTCGTATTTTGTAAAATAATTTTTTATGGCACAAAAAACGACGTCAAACCCTTTACGATAAATTTACATCAATACCGGTTTCCATTCTTATTTTTTGTTCGTTCACATTAGATTCATCTTATGTGATCGAATTGTAATTGCACCAATTAGTTGTGTGCACTCCAATGCACCAGTGGTTTTTTTTTTGTTAAATTTTAGAAAGGAGCTTAAAATTAGCAATATTGTTTTTTTTTTTAATATTTAACATCGTAGTTCATTCAACAATGACAGTGCTTTTTGTTCTTGTCGCATCGAATTTTGTCAGATTTGTGGTTTTGCAAAATTTATTGAATTCACTTTGTTCGATTTGTCCTTAATGCTGACACACCCATCTGAAGATGATTTCGCTGAATTTCTCTCGCTGCTATTTCTCTGTCTCAATTTTTTCATCAGATAAATGTAAACAATAGAATTTACTACCTAACGAAAAGATTCAATTGAACAGGAAAAACCGGCTTTATGACGGAGAAATAAAGTGCTTAGCCTCTGAATGAGTATTGCTTGGTTTCAAATGATATGATTTTAACACCGCATACATTAACTATGACAAGGACATAAATTTTTAACGCGCGAATTTTGTGAGCTTTTTTTATTGCATCTTTACATTATCTTTGTGGTTTTGCTTTTGTATTTATCGTTTGCTCTGTTGTTGTTGGATACCGAAAATTGTGTTCTTAACATTTTTTAGGGTGTGTGCCTGTCGAGCACATTTTTTCTCATTATTTACAAATCACATCTCAAAAGATGTCCTTTATCATTACTGAGGTGTGTTTATTGTTTGTGCTGAATTACACAATCATATGTGTGCTCTTGTTTACTGTCAAAAAATAGCCCAAAGTAAAAAAAAAGTATGGTTGTTAGCGTAATCAGATTATAAACAAAAAAAAAAACAATATCGCATGGACTTTGTTTGTTGTTTCGTATTTTCTGCTACCATTATTTTCCACTATTGAATTTTGTTGACATTTCAATACTGACGCGTGTAACAATCTCATTAGAATATTAGTGTTGTTTTAAGAATGTTGCGCCAATTGTTATATGTTGTGTGCCAATGATCATTTGACACTGAAACGATTTGACGTCAATGCGATGAATGTTTATAGTATTATAGACAAGACGTATTACTTAAATGTCTTAATATTTTGTTTATTCTGTTTTATATCACTGACCGATGTTGGCGATTTGTTTTTCCATTCTAAATTTTACGTTTTGTATTGCATTTCAGATTCAATTTTTCTTGATTATGGTCCATTGGTTGGCCTTGCTATTTCAATCGGACTGTGGATATCCAAAGTTTCCCGTTGCCATAATGGTGCCGCAGAATCTATTTATGTTGGCATTATTTGGTGATTTCTACTATAAAACTTATGTGAAGGAAAGGAAACTGCGCAAGAAACACGATGACAACAAAGGTGACAACAATGATAAAAACAACAACAACAATTCACCACCAATGACCGTTGAAAATAACAATAATGGCACAATCAAAACAATGGCTAACGGTAATGGCATTACATGCAGAAATAATGTGAATAATCATTATTCTAGCGGTACAACTAAAGCAAATGGAATTTCAATTAGTTTGTAAAATACTCCGATTTTTGTTTTTATTTAAAATAGTAGTAAATGTTAAGCAGCTAACCAAAACACAAGAAAATGAATATAAATTTTGAAAATATGACAATCAACTGCAAAATGAAATATGTATTTAAAAAAAAGCACGAAAACGAAAGAGAAATGATGAATAAAAAAAAATATAAATGAAGAAGAATCCATTATGACAAGGAACAACAAAATCAACTGCTCCGATACACACATTCAAATGCATAATTAATATATTTGTAGACTGTATGACTCATTAATTAAGTTCAAAAGTATCGCGCACACATAATGCACAGACGCACTGACAATAGCATTTGCATAACACACACATACGTTTAAAAACGTATGGGCCAGGATTATTTAGCAACAATTTAATATCAATGTTGTGTATACCCCAAATTGTATGATAGTGAGCTAAATAAATAAAGGATGACACGAATTAAAACAAAAACCAAGAAGACAAAAAAAAACTAACCAGCACGAATACACAGTCAATATGTAATCTGAGTGTTTGAAATCGAAGTGACTCTTTTGTTTTCATTCTTTTAATTCCTTTCCTCCTTTCTTTCAATGCCCACAAAACGTAATCAAACCGATCGGTCAGTGCCTTCAAATATCTTAAGGTATGTGTTTGTCGTCTTTTTGTGATGGTCTAGTGCGAATTAAAAAAATATATGAATGAAACAAAGTCGAATTGAATGGAGGCAGAAAGAGAGAGAAAAAAAAGACATCTAACAAATTTGCAAAAAAAAAACATTAGCTATTTGACCATTGGTGACCGGAATGCGTACGTAATTATATCAAAGGTAATGATCGCCCTTTTGTATGAAATGAACAATGTCGACACTATTACATTTAGTGTTGTTGTTGTAGTCGTTGTCAACATTGTACGCGTACACAGCAATAATACGAACACCGACCGTAACATTCGTCGATTAAACGTATTTAAATCCACGTCGTGAACTCTTTTTTTTAATTTATTTTCGCAGTCAAGTTCAAAACCTTTTTTCATTTCGATTGACTTTTACCTCTTCTTATTCATTTTCTCTAATCAAATAAATGGGCACGAGCCAATACACCAGTACTTACACATGTCAGCCGTTTATTGTTTTTGAATGGACGCATTGGGCACTTCAATGATCTTCAAACACAAGCCTTTACTTACATCGAACAGATTTTACTGTTTCTTTGTGTATTTTCGGGCATCGTTTTGTCAAGTTTTCTTATTTATAAACAGCAAAGAGAAGAGAAGAAAAAAAAACAGACTCATATTTCATATTCAATTTACCTAATGTGATCATGAATTTTAAGTATTGCATCATATTATTCTACTCACATATATTGGACCTTTGTTCACTTATTTGCCAACATTTTCAAAGCCAGTTTAGCCATTTGAATAAATGGTGGTCTTTTATCTTGACTATAAAACTGACACCATAAATAAAACAACTCATTGTAATGGTGGATTTGTTTTCTCGTCAAATTTTTAATTTCTGTTTATTTTGTTTTTTTCGGTCTCTTTTCTTCGTAGAATAAAAGTTTTTATTTTTATTAAAATGATTTTTTTTTATAATTATAAATATCATAAATCAAATTACATTATAATCATAAATGTTCAGTCAATCTTTTTTTCTAGCGTCAATTGTTTTTTATATGTTTGAACATAAAAGTTCATAAATAGCACGAAGAATATGGAAGCGTTCAGTAAGAGTAATGCCGATACGAATGATGGGAAACTGCAGTCAGTGCACAAAGCCCGAATTGTGTGTGCAATGCATAAGATGAATTGAGCCTAAATGATTGAAATCAAATAGATAAGAAGAAATATTAATTAGAATTTAAGAAGAACCAAAATGGTGCAAGTTAAATTGGAAAATAATTAGGTGTGGTAAGGTTTCGATTGAGTCGCGCAATAGTCATTGGCGATTCAAATCGATTAAAGAATTGCCTAGAATTGATTGCACGAGGTAAATATATGAGCATAAAATGAAGGGGAACATTGCGATATTTGTGAATGACCCAATAAATTAAGTATTTATTCACCACAAGATGAAACATGTTGTATTTGTTTCCATGCAAAATTGCGAACACGATGTTCAATTTAATTCTCTTTTTTTTCTCTCTTCAAAAATAAGTAGAAATCCAATTACCATGTACATAATATTATAACTCTATATGATCAACAAATAAATTAAAAAAAAAAGAAATAACACACACACATATTATTTCTGGCCAATTTGCACACAGAATATAAACGTAGTGTATTTTGTGGCTAATCACATAATTCGAATAATTTTTTTATTTACTGGAAACATAGCGCCAATATACACGTTAAAACGTGTGTTAATGAGGTTCGTCGTTTTGAATTTTACACATTTTTCTACGAAAAAATGAAGGTATACGAACATTCAAGTCTTCTGTTTCATAAAGCATTGCTTTGCTCAATTCGCTTACCACACTTGATTCGATATTTATTTGGCCTTAACTTTCGTCAATTTCGGTTTTCGTGTGTGTGTGTGTGTGTGTGTGTGTGTGTGTGTGTGTGTGTGTGTG